TCCTCACCAAACTTGTCTTATCCAGTCTTAGCTGATGCAGTTAATTCTCTTAAGTATTGCAAACATCAAAACTTTGCCTTTCCATCAGCTCTCATGAGTCACAAACTGTTTTTTCTAGGAAGGAAACTTTTCTCTTTCCTTGTAAACTAACAGTTAAAACTTTCTAGAGGATGCTGGGACACATTGATGGATTATATTAACTGTAATAACAAGTCTGCTTCGTATATTGCTAAGTACTAGACTAAAGTTGAAAAAAATACATGCTTTTTGCTTGAAATGAGAGGAGGGAAGTGGGAACAATGAGACAACTTTCATCCCACTCCAATCCTCATTAAATTAGTCGAAAACTAAACCATATAATGAGGAGAGAAATTAAGAAGCTTTCAAAATCTTCCTCTGAATAAAGGGTTAAAGAGTTATGTGCTTATGCAGCTTTGTCGTTTCTCATCTTTCTTTCCTCACAGACTGTTTACTGGTACCAATCGGTGTGGAATAGAAAAGCCTACATAACATTAGACAGTTCTGGGATTGCATGTGTTCTTAATGAGTAAATTTTTAAGCAAAACTTCAGCCCACAAAGTTTTAGTCCAATAGTTTAGGATGTAAGTTGAAGGTTAATGGAAGTTAATATAGCATTAATATTTTTCATGCGTTTTCACTCATTTACAAAGTTTGTTCCTATAACCTTTCAAGCATTCAGAAATAATGCAAGCTGTCTGCAGTCACTGCTAAATCCCTGAGTCGCTCGGAGATTTTGGGTATCTTCAGGTAGGCAGCCTGTGTTGTTGCTGGCTCCCAGAGGAGCTACAGGCATTAACCTTGGGGGAGAAGAGAGAAGTCCCTTGAGTACAACAGGACGGAGCTCTCGCTGATGAGTGCTCATGAAGCCACAGCGGTGTCACCTCTCTGTACTAATTAAGAGTTACTGGGAATCTGACAACTAAGGACAACGTGAACTTTAATGTGGATAAGCATGAGGGGACAGCAGCCAGTTCTAAAGCAAGCCAAGAATCAGAAAGGAAAATAATGTTTACTGTGCGGATTTCAACAGTCTGCGTGAAATAAATGTCCAAGCAGAGGATTTGGTCACTGTTCACAAATGACACCTCCTTGTGAGAGAACAATATCAAGGAAAAGGTAAGTTGGGGTAAGTTGGCACTTACCAGCTAAACACTGAGATGCCTGACATCTTGCTGAGAGATAAAACTCTTAAAAAGTATAGGAGAATATTTTTTCTCTTCTCACCTTGTGGCTGGAGTATTGGTTTCCTGTTTCCAAGATGGCTTGTGCATTTTGCATCAAGCAGCCTCTGTATAAAACCAGAAATAATGCCAAAGGCAAGAATTATACCAGTAATATGTATGTTACTGGTAGAACATGCCACTGAACTACTGGATAAAAGTCATGTGCTACATTATCCCTTTCCATACTTTAAAAAGACAGTGGCTGACCATGTTTTGCAAAAAGTCCAATGCTGGCTGTATGTGTCAGGCATAAAAGACAATCCTCCCATGACCCTAGTTGGAGTAATTTAAAAAGCTGCTGTCCCCAGCTGTCCATTAATACGCTTGAGCATATGTTTTGGTTTGAAAATCTAACCAGCTCTCTGAGAAAATCTAATCTTTCAGTACGGGTTTACCTAACCCACCGTCAACGTTGGTTAAGTTTGCCCAGCTGCCTTGACGTGGATGCTGCTCAGTATGCCCCTGGCTCTTTTTGCTGATTTTGCTCGTCGCATGGTAATGGTAAGAGGCAGAATGACCAGGTGGGGACAGTAATGTCTTGGCCTCCTGTGGGTTTTGTACTGTGACAAGTACTGTGACCCTACTGGGTCAAGCCTTTCGAAGGACTTGCTCATGTTTTTGGACCCGAGTGTGAAATAGGGAGAGTGGCAGTCAGCTGCTGTGATTGAGCCAGCTCCAGACACACTCACCATCCCGGACATCACCAAAGGCATTTCTAAGGGAATTAGCAAATAGACACACTTCCAGGCTCCTCAATGGGGTTTGTTTGTTTATTTATTTTATATGTTTTCTTCTAATTCAAGCCATTCGTTCCTGATTAAAGTAAAAAGATGAACCTGTTTCAGATTTAAAGGTTTGCTTGGTTTATCTTTAACTAGTTGTTATTAGCTTTTCCACTACTTTTTTTAGAAAATTGAACAAAGATTTTAAGCTAGGGACACTCTTCGATTACTAGGACCTATGAGGGAGAAGAGTATTTGTTTTCTTTTCAGAGGAAGGCAAACACAGTTGCTTTCTGAGGGATAGCTAAAAAAGAGAAATCAAATTAACTGGATAAGATTAAAAAAAAAATAGTATGCATAATCTTAAAGATCTTTGAAAAACAAATGAATTGGTACTGTTTATATTATTCTCCCCAAGAATGAAGAAAGTAAGGGAGGGGAGGGTAGTTTGATGTCTAAATGAAGTAATCTCCAGAAAGAAACCCACAGATTATATTTGTTAAACTGTATAAGAAAAAAATCAGAAGATAATATGGCTTTGTTCGCAGTATTACATAAAGAAGATTAAAGACGGGAAACAAGCTGCTTAAACACTGTAAACTAATTAGTTCGACGAATTGTTTTCCCGAGGTTCATGAGATATGAAACATTGGCACCAGTGCGTGAAATACACTCTGCCTCAGTGCTCTTTTCAATTTATTTTTCTGTTAGTGTCATATGTGTATATAAAAAAAGAGCAGCCAAAAAGAAAGAGGTTACAGAGGGAGACCAAAGCCTGTCATATGATTGAAGCTGACATTTTGTCATCTTAAGCCCGATACGGGAGGGCCCCCTTCTAATGCCAGTGTGTAAATACCAGCTTCATTTTCTGCTATCACAGGCTACACTGCCCAAATGATGTCGTGACGAGGCCCAGAGGGATTCCTGTTGTTGCCCTGTGCCCAGCTCCGTGCGAAGCTATGCACGAGCAAGCTGACAAGGCGCTAATTAGCTCCCCCAGCGTCGGGGTGGTCGGGCGGCGGCAGGCGATGGGGGACGCTGCAGGGTCTTTGGCGGGGCGCGTCGCGGGAGGTTGGCGGGACGGGGGAGTCGCAATGGCAGGTGTTAGCCTCGGTAAGTGCTTCGGCAGCTTTGGATTTTCGTCTTTCTCTGTCGGCTGACGCGTGAATCGGGTGGCAGGGCAGATCGTGCAAATGTTCCAGATACTCTTAGAACACACATTTGTCTGCTTACTGAAGTGGCTTTCCTTTAGGAAGCCAGTAGCTTTAATACATCTGTTTCTCGTTAGAACTTGATAAATATAACTTGATAAATTATATTTAGTTTGATAAATTATTCTCTTTGTGCTGCACCATGCCTCAACACTTGAGCAGATGTGTCCAGTATTGTCACGTTTGTTAGAAGATATTACTATTTCTTGGTATTGGACAGAATACCCAGGATTTTGCCACTGTATGGAAATAAAACAACATAGATTCCTCTTTTTTGACCTTTTTTTTTTTTTAATATATATATAGCAGTATATGGGGTTGTGGCCATATGGAACCCTATATAAACTTCCATATCAAGTAGTGCTTGGGGGTGCCTGCACAAGTACAAGAATAGTTTTGCCTAGAGAAAATGAGGAGAGAGAAATTCCATTATGACTTTAGGTTGTATTTTTAATAGTACTGAAATACTGAGGATAGCGAACATTTCAATTTAGACAATAGCCCAAGGGGTTTTAAGTAATATCTGAGGGGCACTGAATATATAGTGGAGATAACGTAATAAGGACAATAGTGGATACATCATTTAGCTGAGGCTTCATCAGTTGCTTTCTGAAGGTGAGGAGAGGAGGAGATGTGATTTTTCCTCTGGGTTTTGTAATGATTTTTGCTTTCCATGGGACATACGTGACATTCTGTTGTATATAACCAGTGCAGAACTTGGGAGCTGTTGATATTTATGCTATTACTTATGAAGAGAAATCTGTCTGTCTAGCTTGTTTTGTTTTGTTTTGTTATGTTTTTAATGAATACAAATATTTTTGCAAATGCTATGTCTTAGGTGATAATCATCTGCTGTGTTTGAGGTTGAATTTCTTAAGTATGCTACTACGGAAGGTAGGTTTGTAGCTTGAAAAGCAAAGCAATGGGTTTGGAAAGAAAAAAAGGAACCAGGGAAAGGAAGGGAGGAGGAAAGACTCAAAATCAATTACTTTGTCATGTCCTACTTTCTACAGCTCCCCGGTAATGCCCTGTTTGACAGCAGGGGTACCTAGCCAGTTCTGCAGTGGCATCTTCAGCAAAAAAGCACCTCACTTGAACGTAAAACATTTTTTGGCCAAAGTAACAGAGGGCAGGGGTATGTTTACAGACCTCTTACTCCCACTCACTCTTCCGTTTTTCAGCTGTTGAGGTCAGTACATTAGTTCCTAAAAAGTGAAACCAGTCTGGGAGTCTTGGTAGCATGGGTTCTGCTCAATTACGGCTTTTAAATACGCAAATCAGATTCTAATTAGCACCACAGTCAGAACAAAGTGCTATTTTTATTACCCATTACAATGCGTTTGCTTACATATGTACCCTGCAGTTACAGATGTGTTATTCATTATTTGTTTTTGTTTGTCACAAAGGTAGCGTTTGTTACTTACGATTTCTGAAGTTACCAACCTGAGCAATGCTATAAAATCATTATTCACAAAAACATGAACAAGCAGCACTTGTCAATTTTATGTCAGGCCCAGTGAACTATAAATCTGCCTAGTGAGGAGGATGATTGCCTCCTTGTAAAGGTGACAATATAGCCCTGTCTTTCCCCTGGCAAGGTGATAGAAAAGACATTTTTGTAGTCTGCAGTAAAGTAGGAATTTAGAATTGAAAGCTCTTGATCTTAATCCGACATTTTCTTCAAAATCTGGAGCTGCTGTATGGCCCGATGCCATGACCAATTTTGTTGTGTACTTCTACTAAGAAACATTTTGTGTACTTCCATTAGGTTGTAGTGTTTAATATTGCTTAGTAATACTCCCTTGGAAGAACATATGGTACATAGTGTTCTATCATGTCGATAAGAAACAAACCTTAGCTTCTTAAAAGGAGTATATTTCAGTTTAAAATGGTATCTGATGAAGAATGAGCTAATCTGTTGAGGAATAGAAGGGAATAAAACCTCAGTCTTTTTTTCAGAAATAATTAGATACTTAGGGACCTTTATGGGTTCCAGAAGTAAACCTGTGTGACCCTGTCCTATTTATTAAGACTGATGAACTCTTGTTAGTGTGTTTACCATTCCCCTCTTGCATTACCACTGTTTTACAAGCTGTCTAGAAGTTTGCAACTTTTATGCTATATTTTTTTTACCATCTGACTTTCATGACTTTTTCCATAAAATTTATTGGTTGTGGGAGTCTTAGAAATTCTAAACTACTTAATGGTTCTGCCTGCATCCATTATATAGCCTCTTTCCCCCCTGACCTCCCCAGACATCTGTGTAGATACCTTCTGAAATTTACAAAACCTTTGTGGCTAATCCCATAGGCTGACCTACACACTGAAATCCTACCAGTGTTTGTTGCTGCTAATTATTCTCAGTAAACCTGTGGGAATCAGGCCCTTTCTTAATGAGTTTGGGAAAGCAACTAAAAATTTCATTCACTCTCAAGATTGCTCACCACATCTTTGTGACTTCAGTGTCCTGAAAAACTTGTGTTCTGCATAGGGGTGGCGTCCACAAAACTGCTACTTTCATTTTGTTCTTTGTTAATTTAGGGTGAGGAAGAAGGAAAGAGAGGAGGGACTGTATCTGGCACTGCAGTGTAACAAAAACAGCTGTGTAATGTGGCACAAGTGGGTTATTAGATATGACATAATGTGTAGTATTTCTATCATGGCATTATATATCTGTCAGGGCTTTTGGCAGTCAATTTTTTCTGAGTTTGAAATCCTATTCATGTATTTTCAGTGGGTATCAGTTAAAATGTCCAGAAATCCCTCTGCAACCAATCAGTTTTGCTTCCTCTAAATATCTGCCTTTAATTGATGGCTTGTTAAACTGAGTTAGGAAGCCGTGGGGAGCTCAGCCTACACTGTGTGGGCACAGAGGTAACTTGACACAGAGAGTATGGATTTGGAAAGGTTTAGGCAGCACGGCTGCACCTAGATAATTTTTTTTTGTAATTTGAAATCTGTGTAATTGAACACCTGACAGATTTTTTATTCCATTTTTGGTGAGGAATGCATCCTGTACCTGCATGCATTGAAAATGCTATATATGCCTATTTTCTAATGACTGTTAAAGAAGAAATGCATTAACAACAGTTCTTTTTTTGTCATTGCACAGACACTTGGTTTTGAAAGCAGTTGAAACAGCCAGCTGTCTCTGGTGGTGTGAAAGAAGAGATTTTCCTTCCACAGGGAACACTTTTTTTGCCAAAAGGAGATACCAGAAAGACCCCCCAAAACAAACCCCTGAAAAGTCTATTCCTACTTTTGCATATCTTTGCTTTAAGTAGACTCTGTATCAGCAAGTGTCTTGTTTATGTACCTTATTAAGTCACACACCGACATCCTTGTTGGTTTAACTATTTCTGCAGTGGTACATGATGCAGATATTTGAGATCAGCAGAAATGATCTGGAAAAAGAAAGTGTTACTCCTTTTCAGCACAGCCTATTAGATTTTTTTCAAGATGTACATTACATGTAACAGAATATTAAAGGAGTGTCCGAATGCTAAGGTCCCTCTCAACTTCCTGCCAGGGATTTTAGGGCCACACGCTCCAAATCTGGATAAACTGGTGATGTTTTACCCATGCAAAACTGCTGATGACATTTTTTTGGATGAAAATGAAACACTGGAAACTGTAATCTTTGCATTCTGCTCAGCCACTCTGCAGTTCTGAGTTGCTGCAGGCTGTGCTACAGAATTCAGTAACGTTCACACTTGGAATTACCAGTAACCAAAGCGAGTAAATCTTTGCAGTCCTGAGTTACTAGCTCCCCAGCTTTACCAAGCACAAATGTGGTTAGATCTGTATATTGTCCTTAAGTGCCGAGAGCTTTTCTTTCATTAAAAAAAAACTTTTTTTAAAAAGTGTATACATGTCAAAATCTGATAATTAGTTGTTTGAGTACCATGACTATGGTACTTTTCCATGGTATGTGTGTATCTCTCTCTCTCTCTCTCCCCATATATATCCATATATATTCCATATATAATGTCCATATATAATATCTGTATATATCCATCTATATTCCATGTATAATTTTCCATATATTATCCATATATTCCACTATTCCATTGCTAAATTGTTCCTTGGCAATGTGGCAATACAAGCCTTTCTAAATTTACAAGTGGTCGAGCAGAAGAAATCAGGATTGAAAGAAAAAAAGAGCAGTGTGAGGAGTCCAGGTGGACTAAAGAAGAGCTGGGACTTCTTGAGCTTTGGAAGTGGGACTGCTAGACACAAAAGGGAGGGAGGAGGACTATAGTCAGCAAACAGACATTCCTCTGGAAGTTTGGGGTTCATCTTCTTTTCACAAAAATCCTCAGGGAAATGAGTATTTCTAACAAATTACCTTCAACAAACGTAGCTTTGATGATTTCAGGTCTTGCTGCCCACAGCTGGCCATCGTACCTTTCTGCCAACCCTGGTGCAGCAAGTGGAAGTGGCAGAAGTTGCCCATGCCCTGGGGGACTCTGGCTTACGTCGTTAGGCAGCCCATGAAATCTGATTAGGCTAAGATTATGGACAGGCATGCCCAAAGTGTGGACCTACTGATTCATGGGCAAGTGTTTCCGAATGCCACCACGCGCATGGTAACGGGCAGCTTGTGATGGCTGAGGTGTGCTGGGATGACAGTCGTGTAAACAGCTGCAACTCATCGCTTGGGGAATATGTGCTGGGGGCCCAAGGCCCGGCGACATAGCAAATTAAAATTCAGTAGAGAATGAGTGCTTCAGAAAATGCCTGCCAAAAATTGTTTACAGATTTGTATTTTGAGCATGTGATTTGCGTATGCAATTCTTCATGCTCACCTTGAGGACTCTGCATCTTGTTTTTCTCTAAATATGTACCTTATGGATTAAGCAAAATCAATTCTTCTTTTTTTCACTTTGTTCTTTTTCTCTG